GGTTCCTGTTTTCCGTCTTTCTCCTTATTCCATCAATTAATTAATCCTTGATTCCCAAGAGCTGCAGTTAAGTTTTGTGTGTGCTTTATTTGCATTTTAGCCCATTGTCAGATGTGAGCAAATATTTTCTTCCTCTCCGTAGGGTGTCTCTTCCTCTTAATCAGCTTATAATTTCACAACACACAAACTTTGGGTTTGATATTGACCTACATATTTTCATTTTCTTAATGACTGGAATTTTGGGATTTTCAATTTTTGTTTCTGGGCCACACCCAGCTGTGTTCAGGGCTTAGTCCTGGCTCTGCACTCAGGGATCACTCCTGACAGGGCTCAGGGGTGCTGGAGATCGAACCTAGTTTGGACACACACAAGATAAGGTCTGCAGAATGCAAGGAAAACACTCTACCACTTTACTAGCTCTCTGACTCCTGGAATCACATTATTGAACATACAACTGGAGTCAGTATCACAGAATTCTGCCCATTTTCCTCAATGAACTTCACTGATGTAATGTTGAGCTCTTTAATCCAGTTTGAATTTTATCTTGTGTAATGGTATGATGTAGGGCTCCAACAATATCTCTCTCTCTCTCTCTCTCTCTCTTTCTCTCTCTCATGCACCATCACCCTTTATTTATTTTTTTTGTTTTTTCGAGCCACACCCAGTGGTGCTCAGGGGTTGCTCCTGACTCCTGGCAGCTCTGTGGGACCAGATGAGTGCTGGGGAATCAAACCTTGGTCGGTCGTGCACAAAGCAAATGCCCTATCTGCTGTACTATTGTTTGGGCCCTTCCAAGTCTTTTTCTTATATGCATATGTGGCTAATCACTTTCCCCATCACTGTTGAAATGGCTTTCCTTGCTCCGTTCACGCCTCTAGCTCCTTTATGAGAGTTGAATTTATCTATCCCCGCTTATCTATGGGCTTTCAATAACGCTTTTCCTTTTTTTTTTTTCTAGTTTTGGAGCCACACCTGACAATGCTCGGGGTTTACTCCTGGATCTATGCTCAGGAATTATCCTGGCAGTGTTTGGGGAACCATAGGGGATATCAAGGATCGAACCCAGGTTAGCCACACACAAGGCTCAACCTGCATTACTCTCTCTCCAGCTCCCCTGGCCCCTGTCCCGCATGGTTTCATAGTATAAAGTCAGGAAATGCCTCCCATCCTTTCCCCCTTCAGGATTACTTTGGTTATTTGGGTAGTTTTATAATCCTACGTAAATTTTAGCAGTATATATTCCATAGCCCTAAACGATGCCATGGGATTGTGAAGGTGACTGCATTAAACCTATGTAGTACTTAGGGCTCATTCATTTTAACAGAGTTAATTCTTAAAATTACATGAACAAGGAATGTTTCCATTCTCCCTTGAGTATTTCCATACTTCTTTGAACAGTGATTTACAGTTTTCTCTGCATGAATCTTTCAATTTCCTTTTTTGGGGTGATAAAATTCCCTTAATAATTCCCAGGTACTTAATTTGGGGGAGCATAGTTGTAAACAGTATTGTTTCTTACATTTCTCTTCAATCTCATTGTTGGCGTACAGAAACACAATGCATTGTCACATAATATAGCAATGCTGAGAGCTCCCTTGTCCCTTATATAATGTCCATCTCTGTCCCTTATTAGTTTTTTTTTTCCTTTTTGGATCATACCCAGCCATGCTCAGAGGTTACTCCTGGCTCTACACTCAAGAATTACTCCTGATGGTGCTCGGGAGACCATATGGGATAGAACTGGGTATCATACCCGGGTCAGCCATGTGCAAGGCAAATGCCCTACCTGCTGTACTATTGCTCTGGCCCTCTTATAAGTTTAGTTTGAAAACTATGTTCTTGACCGAAAGTATGGTCAGTCTGGCCTATTTGTCATCCATCCTTTTACTTTGAATAGTTATGTTTCTCATAACCATTCAGGTGTTATTCCTAAGGAGAAGGTTGAGGTTCAGTCTTCTGTTCTATCCAGTCTTTTTTGTTTCATAATTCAGACAACTGCCATTGAGTTTCATGGAATGAAGACATTAATAGCTGTTTTTATTTTATTCATTTATTTTAAAACAAAGGGACTATTCATTTTTAATTCTTATTTTTTGCTTTTTGGGGTCTCACCTGGTGATGCACAAGGGTTACTCCTGGCTCTGCACTCAGGAATTACTCCTGGTGGTGCTAAGGGGACCATATGGATGCTGGGAATTGAACCCCAGTTGGTCTCGTGCAAGGCAAATGCCCTACCTGCTCTGCTATCGCTCCAGCCCCTAATAGCTGTTTTTAAATTAAAAAAAATCTGTTAAGTTTGTCAGTTCATTTGAAATCAAAAAACATAAATTTCCAATAAACATTAAATGTGATGGGAGGTTTCCTAGCATTTTGTTTTAATGTGACTTTCTTTTCTTTTCTCTTCAGTCTCTGAAAGACATTGATGGCAGTCAAATAGCTCAAACTGTTAAGAGAATGCGTGAGGCACTCTGAAAAAATGATGGATATTATTTTTGCCGGTTTAATATAAGGTTTTTGTTTGTTTTTGGACCACAACTGGCAACGCTCGGGGGTTACTCCGGGCTTTGCACTCAGGAACCACATGGGACAGTGCTGGGGGGACCATATGGGATGTCAGGGATCAAGCCAGGTGATCCCCATTAGGACAAGCACCTACCCATTGTACTACTGTACTGGTGTAAGTTAAGTATTTTCTACAAAATTTTAACAACATTTTAAAGTTTTACAGTGGTCCTCATGATTTTCAGTCACATACATAGTTCAGATAGTCAAAGCAAGTATTATGATATATCTTTTAAGTCACTGTCACTGTTCTCCCGTTGTTCATCAATTTGCTCGAGTGGGTCCAGTAACATTGTGAGACTTGTTTGGCATATCTGTGTTTGGCATATTGAGTATGTCACGGGTAGCTTGCCAGGCTTTGCCCTGTGGGCGAGATACTCTTGGTAGCTTGCTGGGCTCTCCGAGAGGGGCGGAGAAATTGAACTAGGCTCGGCAGTGTCGGGCCCATGCAAGGCAAACTCCCTACCCGCTGTGCTATTTCTTCAGCCCATCTCTTAAGCATGGGATTTTAAGATAACTTCTAAAACAGAATTCAGAAGAAAAAAATAACATTTCTATGGCACTGCTAAGAATGATCCCTGAGTGCTGAGCCAGGAGTTAGCCCTTAGCACCCCCAAATGGGGGCTCAAAAACCTAAATTAGATAAATATAATTTCTTTTCATTAAAAAAATGTTTGGTTTTGGGCGACACCCAGAGGTGCACATGGTTTACTCCTAAGTCTCTGCTCAGGGACCACTCCTGGCAGGCTCAGGGGACCATATGGGGTGCCAAGAATCCAACCCGGGTTTACCGCATGCAAGGCAAACCACCTTACCTAATGTACTACTGAACCGAGACAGAAGAATACAATTCTTACATTGAGTTTTGAGGATCAAATATTCCTTTGATTGCCTTCCCTAACATTCTCGCTTACATTTATTATCTCAGTAACAAGCAGTTATATCTTGAGACGCAAATTTTTCTCCATTAAAATATTTTAATTTTATTTAAGTATACATTTTGCTATTTTATAGTTATTTTTATAACTTTAATTTCATAACTGTAAAAACCTTAATTTACTACTTTCAAAATTATAAGTGGTCCAGAAAGATGGCTGAAAGACTGAGCACATACTTTGGAGGAAGGAGGCTTGTGTTCAATTCTGGCACCACATGATTTCCCAAGGACCACTGGGAGTGATCCCTGAGCAACCAGCCCCAAACACTCCAAAAGCTCCTGAGCACTCCCCCCCTCCACCCCTGCCACAAATGTTAAGTAATCATAAAACAGTATTACATTATTTCAGGTAACATTTACAAAGAGATTTTTATAATGGCAGAATCTTTCTTTTCTTACAATTATTACTTTCTATGTGACATAGATGTTTTATCTATAGACCTAAATTCATAGATTCAAAAATAAATCCAAACTGATGCATTCTCTTTTTAGCAAAATTATTTACTTATGCAGAGAATTTACATTATGGAACTTTAACACAATAAAGTTGGTTACTTCTACTGACAACGTGAGTTAATTTCTGGTCAACAAACACAGGAATAACAAAGGTATTACACTAATAGAACAGTGTCATAAACAAGTATGTTCATGCAGTAATTTTGTATGCTGCAAATATTATTGTTAGCACTATCACAGCCATGTTATCTCTAATAAAATAAAAAGGCAAAAAGTATAGCTCAAATCCTTAGGCTTTTGAATTAGTTTTTATTTACAAAAATTATCCATGATACTAAAGATTCTGTCTACAGAACTGAGCTTACATGGGGATGTGTGGCTGGAAGGGGTCCTTGGGATACTGGTGGAGGGAAGCAGTCTCTCTGGTGATGGATGTGGTGTTGAAATGACATAAACACAAAAAGTATGGTTAACAATATTGTAAATCCTGGTACCTCAACATAAATGGTTAAAATCTAACCTTCAATGTTTAAAACATTTTGAGTCAGTTTTAATAATGTCATTTGGTAATAAAATAAACCATAAATTGGGAAAACACAAATATACAGATGGACATAAACCGAGATCTCTTTGTTTCCTCCGAGGATGACAGTCATACTTTCTCTCATATTGACTCAAAAAGTGGTGTACTATTTTCAGGTCCCGACTGTTCAGTAAGTCAAGAAAATTTTCGAGCTAAAAGATTTCTAAGTTCACGTATCTTTTGAGTTTTGACTGCTGGGCAAGATTTTTTTTACTTTACTTTTGCATTCTTTACAGTCACAGGGTTTCACACCTATCTGAACTCTCTGCTTGGAAGCAGGGATGTAGGAAAGAATATAAGAAAACTTCCATGAAAGGGGCCAGAGTGGGGAGGGTGTTGGCCCTGCACATAGCCGACCTGGGTTCAATCTCTGGCACTCCATATGTTCTTCCGAGCACCACCAGGTGTAATTCATGAGTGCAGTGTCAGGAGTAACCCCTGAGCATTGCTGAGTGTGGCCAAAAAAAAAGTTAAAAAAAAAACTTAATGAGAAAGCTTTCCTATATTCTTCATGTTCTAAAGATTTCTCAACTATATGAATTCGCTGAGATATAATGATGTATGCCTGACAGGAGAAAGATCTTCTACTTTATAACATTCATATGATTTCTCTCCTGCATGAGTTCTCTGGTGCACCTTAAGATATGCCTTGCAGGAGAAAGTTTTTCTACATATTTTACATTCATAGGGTTTTTCCCCTGTGTGAAATCTCTGGTGCACAATGAGTTGTGACTTCCTTGAAAAAGTTTTTCTACATTCTTTACAATCATAAGGTTTCTCTCCTGTGTGAGTTCTGTAATGTGAAATGAGATAAGACTTCCGGGAGAAAGTTTTACCACATTCTTTACATTCATAGGGTTTCTCTCCTGTGTGAATTCTTTGATGTAATGTGAGATCTGACTTCCGGTAAAAAGTCTTCCTACATTCTTTACATTCATAAGGTTTTTCTCCTGTGTGAGCTCTGTGATGTAAAATAAGTCCCTTCCTCCAGGAGAAAGCTTTCCTGCATACTTTGCACTCGTAAGGCTTCTCTCCTGTGTGAATTCTCTGGTGAACAGTGAGGTATGCCTTACAAGTGAAAGTTTTCCTACATTCTTTACATTCATAGGGTTTCTCTCCTGTGTGAATTCTCTGGTGTACAGCAAGGTATGACTTCAAGAAGAATGTTTTCCTACATTCTTTACATTCAAAGCGTTTCTCTCCTGTGTGACTTCGCAGATGAACATTGAGGGATGAATTTGAAGAGAAAGTTTTCCTACACTGTTTACATTCATAGGGTTTCTCTCCGGTGTGAGATCTGTAATGTAAAATGAGTCCTTTCCTCCAAGAGAAAGTTTTCCCACACTCCTTACACTCATAGGGTTTCTCTCCTGTGTGAATTCTCTGATGGACAGTGAGGTCTGACTTCCGGTAGAAAGTTTTCCCACATTCTTTACACTCATAGGGTTTCTCACCTGTGTGAATTCTTTGGTGCTGAAGGAGTCCTCGTCTCTGGGATAAAGTTTTCCCACATTCTGAACATATGTATTTAACTTTCTCCCTCATGTGTGTTCCCTGATGCCTGTCAAGGGTTAAAAACTCACTGGTTTTCTGGCATTCATGAGGTTCAACACCTGTGTGTATTTCTGTATAATCAGTAATAGAAGGTATGTTATAGAAAGTGCTGTGGTCCTCAAATTTTTGAATAGGGTGCATCTCACTGGGGCCAACAGTCAGAAACATATTCGTAAGTACATTATAGTCCTCAGGCATCATGATAGAATAGTTGCCATTATTTACCATGGGGTCAGAAACACGGACTGAACTCAAATTAAAAGTATTTCCTAAGTTTATACTCTCCTTTGTTGCTGTTTTCCTCTTGCTGACGACATCTTGCCAAAAATGCCTATCCTGAATTTTCTGGGTGCTCTCAACCAAGTCATCCAAAGGTGAAATATCTAAAATGAGACAGAAATATTCATGTTATGAGTCATGTGAAAGTGTGTCATCTGTGATATCTGTGATTGGGGTATAAATATAAAGAAGTTTCTTTCTTTTTTTTTTTTTTTTGGCCATACCTGGCAATGATCTATGGTTACTCCTGACTTTGCACTCAGGAATTAGTCCTGGTGATGCGCAGGGGACCACATGTGGTGCTGGGGATCAAACCTGAGTTCCCTTGTGTAAGGGAAATGTACTACTTGCTGTACTATTGCTCTGGTGCATCCCTTTGAGATAAATAGCATTCACTTTACTTCTTGGGTACAAGAATCTCTACTCAATAATTCACTACCACTCCAGACTCTATATTTTTATATATTATATACATATATTTGTTTTTGTTTTGAACTACGTGAGGAAGTACTCAGGGCTTAGTCTGGCTCTATGCTCAAAGATCACTCCTTGAGGTGCTTGGGGGACCATATGGGGTAACCACCGTACGAACCCTCTGGTCCCATTTGTTTTTAAAACAATAGTGCACAACTGAAGGTGAAATAGATGACTTCAAACTACACTATGAAAATCAGTGCCTTACTAAACAGAAGCTCTTTGGTCCGTGGCTTTGTGGCTCACAATATGTCATATTTTGCCACAGATCTCCCTGATTATACATTTCTTGGAGAAACATTTTTCTGGGTTCTCTACACATTCGCCTTTTCTTTTCTTTCTTTGGAAGGGGGGTATTGGGGGCCACATCTGATGGTATATAGGGCTTACTCCTGGCTTTGAATTCATATATCACTCCTCAAGGGGATCGGGATAATATGGGGTACCAGGGATTGAATCCAAGTCAGACCCGTGTAAGACAAGCATCTACCCATGGTACATCTCTCTATCTCCTGCATATTCACAATTTCTGATTTTTTTAATAAAAATCAAGAATTGATTTTCTGTGTTTTATAAGGCTTAACTCAATCTTTTCTTTTTTTCCTTTTTGTTTTTGGGCCACAAACAATGTTGTTCAGGGCTTACTCCTGACTCTGCACTCAGAAATTACTCTTGGTGGTACTCAGAGACCATATGGGATGCTGGGAATTGAACCCAGGTCAGCTGTGTGCTAGACAAGTACCCTACCTGCTGTCTATTGCTCCAGCTGCTGAAAACTTTTTTCAGCTCTGACTTCGCTATTGAACAAGTATATTTGATTCATTCTTCACTCTCAATGCAGAGTACCTAAATGCATATTTCTCTTTATTACTACTGAACTGAAAACCACATGATTGAAAACTCCCTATTAAAATGTTATATGAGGGGCCAGAGCAATAGGACAGTAGGGAGGGAATCTGCCTTGCATGTGGCTGATCAGGTATGATTTCCAGCACCCCAAATGATCCTAAACTTGCCAGTAGTGATCCCTGAGCAGAGTGAGGAGTAATTTTGCAATACTGAGAGCTCAGTTGGAGCACAGAAAATTAGATGGGAAAGTAGCATAGAAGCCCACCAAACTCAGTAAGTGAAAACAAAAACATAGAAGACTCAACTGAGCCAGAGCAATAGTACAGCAGGTACTTTTGCCTTGCACACAGCCAACCAGAGTTTGATCTCTGAGTCCTGCCACGAGTAATCCCTGAGTGTAGAGCCAGTAGTGCGTGGCCCAAGGGTTGTGGCCCAAATAAAAACAAAAACAAAGGGGCTCAACTAGCAACAAATAGCTCAGTAAATCCTCAGACAATGATTTAAATAATCCCACTGTGAGATATAACAATTTTCATGAATTTTCTGTTACTGTACTATTTCTTGATAATTCCATTTGCCATTTTGTTGTAACAAGCAATATAAAATAAATTATTTTGTACTTGCTAGGGGCTGGAGCGATAGCATAGCGGTAGGGCGTTCGCCTTGCACACAGCCAACATGGCCGACCCGAGTTCGATTCCTCCGCCCCTCTCGGAGAGCCTGGCAAGCTACCGAGAGTATCTCGCCCACACGGCAGAGCCTGGCAAGCTACCCGTGATGTATTCGATATGCCAAACACAGTAACAACAAAGTCTCCAATGGAGACGTTACTGGGCCCGGTCGAGCAACTCGATGAACAATGGGAGGACAGTACTTGCTAGGGGGTGGATTTGGTGATGTGGAGAACTGGGGACAAGGGTGGAGGTAAGATCACATTGGAGGTGGAATGGTGTTGGAACACTGAATGACCAAAACATCTTTATTATGATTAACTCTGTAAACTAGTAATAGAAAAAAAAGTGAGAGCTGGAGAAAGAGTGCAGCTGATAAAGTGCTTGATTTGTTGGGTTTGATCTCTGACATACTACATGGCCTCACAAGCCTGCCAAGAGTGATCCTTGCGCACAGAGCCAGGAGTAAGCCCTGAGCACTGCTGGGTGTGACCAAAAACATCACTGTCACTGGTCACTGTCCTCCCATTGTTCATCGATTTTCTCAAGCAGGCCCAGTAACGTCTCCATCGTGAGACTTTGTTGTTACTGTGTTTGGCATATCGAATATGTCCCGGGTAGTTTCCCAGGCTTTGCCGTGCGGGCGAGATACTCTCAGTAGCTTGCCGGGCTCTCCGAGAGGGGTGGAGAAATCGAACTTGGGTCAGCAAAACCTAACAAACAAATAACAATAAAATGTTACATGAGTAATGAAAGTGCTTAAATTTTAAACGTTAAACGGAAAAAAAATTTTGTTTTTGTTTTTGGATCATACCTGGAGATGCTCAGGGATTACTCCTGGTTTTGCACTTAAGAATTACTTCTGGTGGCTGGGGTACCATATGGATGCTAAAATCAAACTCACATCAGCTGAGAGCAAGGAAAATGCCCTATTTGCTGTGTTATCGCTCTGGCCGCAGAAATAAAAATTTTACGATATAATGCTGTATGAAATTTTAAAAAATGTATGAATAAACCCTAAAGAAGAAAACTAGGGGTCAGAGTGTACAGCAGGCAGGGCATTTGCCTTGGACGCAGCCAACCCAGGTTCGATCCCCAGCATCCCATCTCATCTCCCAAACACCGCCAGAAGAAAATCCTGAGTGCAGAGTCAGAAGTAACCCCTGAGCATTGCTGTGTGTGGCCAAAAGACAAAAACAAAAGCAACTATCATTAACAGTGCATCCAGAGTAAAGCAAGGCAATTAAGAGTTTCAAGGACAGTTCAGCAGGGACTGCATTTTGATAAAATATGTCCACTAAGAAAATCCATTAAGAAAGTCAGTGAGACTATTCAGTCAAGGGTACCTGCCTTGCATGAGACTGACCTGCATTTGATCCCTGCCACCTGAGTGCCAATAGAAGTGATTCCTGAGTGCAGAACCCATAGTACAGTCTAAGTGCCACTAGGTGTTGCCCAAAAAAACAAAAAGAAAGAGAAAAAGACATACACACAGAACACTGCTATAGGATTTGAACCTGGAGAAAAAAGTCTTGAAAAAATTGGTTAGTACAACAGACTTTTGCTGCCCACCTGCCCAGTCTGTAGTGACTGACCTCTGAGGGTAGGTTTTGAAGGTTCTGCTGTCCATGGTTCTGCGTGTTCCTCCAACTTGACAATCACTTCCGGTTTGGTGACCGAATGTCCTGTTGGTGAAAATTTCATGCTGACATTCTGCAAAACTGCCAATGTTCATTGCCTTTGGAGAATGACCTCAGCACAATTTTGAAGAGTTGGACAATGAAGGGTCAATTCAAACCTCTGATGAGAGTGGTAAATGCTCACATTCTTTTTGTCCAAGATTCTTACATCTTAACAACCTTTAATCTGTTCAGTCATTGTAGATTAATAAAAAGACATTGCAATAGTAGGGTTGGAGCAACAGTGCAGCAGGGAGGGTGCTTGCCTTGCACGAGGCTGACCCTGGTTCAATCCCCGACATCTCACTGAGTCCCCTGAGCACTGGAAGGAGTAATTCCTGTGTGCAAAGCCAGGAGTAACCCTTAAGCATCACTGGCTGTGGCCCAAAGTCAAAACTAAAAAAAACTGCAGTAGGGAGTAACTGGGGGCGCTTCACTCACCCAGTGATTCTAGGTGACTGTAGGTCTCCAGCATCACATCCCGGTACAGGGTCCTCTGCACCTCATCCAGGTGCTGCCACTCGTCCCAGCTGAAACTCACAGCTACATCCTCAAAAACCACCATCCCCTGTAAGGACATATTTCTCTTCAATTAGAAGCATCAGGGACCAGAGCAATAGTACAGCAGGTAAGGTACTTGCCTTGCCTGCTGCCAACCTGGGTTCAATGTGGTCCCCAGAACATCTCCGGGAGTAATTCCTGAGCATGCAGAGCTAGGAGTAACCCCTGAGCACCACGTATGCCTCTCCACCCCCCCCCAAAAAAAAACAAACCAACCCAACAACAGTAACAAAACCAGAAAGAAACATCAGTGTGGGGCTGCAGTTAATAGTACAGTGGTCAGCACACCTATCTTGCATTTAGCTGATCCAGGTTCAATCCCAGATATCCATATGGTTCCCTAAGCACCGCCAGGAGTAATTTCTGAGTGCAGAGCCAGGAGTAACCCCCGAGTATCACCAGGTGTATCACCCATGCAGCACCCAAAAAGGCAACAGTCTGAGTTAAAGAAACAGGAAATGTGAAAGTTTCTTTGGTGTGTTTTAAGTTATATAGGGTACACTAGACTTATGCCTGATACTGCAGACAGTGTTTCACAGTGGGAATATTCTACCTCAGGGCTGGAGAGATAGTATAGGGGTTAGGCACCTGCCTTGCATGCTGTCAACCTTAGTTTAATCCACTGTACTGCAGATGGTCCCCTGAAAACTGTCAGGAGTGGTCCCTAAGCTAATGGGCCAGAAATGAGCACTAAGTACTGCTGTGTGTGGCTTGAAGCCTCCCAACCAGAATAAGAAATATTCTACCTTTGTTTTAATTCCTGAGTTCCTAAAAGGATCACCACAGTTTCCCTTATAAATGAAACTGTGCTGGCCAGAGAGACAGCACAGCAGGGAGTGCATTTGCCTTGCATGTAGCTGACCCAGGTTTAATCTTCAGCACCCTATATGATCCCAGAGCCCTGCTAGGAATGATCCCTGAGCAACAGAGCCAGGACTAAGCCCTAAGCATGACTAGTAAGACCTAAGCCCCCACCCCCTACCCCCCCAGAAGAAAACTGTACTTATCTGTTATGAGTAAAAGGGTGAATAAAATTCTGTTTAAAATTTGGTTTGAAGGGACCAGAGCAATAGTTCAGAGGTTTCCTTGCATGCAAAAAAACCCCGGGTTCAATCCCAGGCACCCCATATGGTGCCCCAAGCACCACCAGAAGTGATTTCTCTGAGTGCAAAGCTAGAAATTGCCAAGTATGGCTCAAAATCAAACCTAAAAAATTTTTTTGTATAAACGTCTTCCTGAGTTAAATGTACCTTTGTTCTAGAGATGGAGAGACAGTATATAGGGGTAAGGTGTTTATATGTGATGAACCTGGGTTCAATCCCTGACACCCCATAGGGTCTCCTGAGTTCACTCTGAGTGATTTCTGATCACAGAGCCAGCAGTGAGCCCTGAGCACCACTGGGTGTGGCCCAAAACAATTTAAAAAAATGACTTTAAATGCAGTGCCAGGGGCTGGAAGCGAGTAGGACATCTGCCTTGCATGCAGCCAAACTGGGTTCAATTCTGGGCATACCATATGGTCCCCCAAGCACCATCACGAGTAATTCCTGAATGCAGAGCCAGTAGTAATCCCTGAGCATTGATGGAGGGAAAAAAAAGCCAAAAACACTAGTGTGCTTTTGGCATTGCCTTTTTTTTTTCTTTTTAGGTCACACCCAGCAATGCTCAGGGGTTACTCCTGGTTCTGCACTCAGGGATTATTCCTGGCAGTGCTCTGGGGATGATATGGAATGTTGGAGACTGAACCTGAGTCTACCACGTGCCAGGCAAACACTGTACCCATTGTACTATTGCTCCAGGCCGGTGTTCCATGTTCTATGATGAGTGGTAGATAGCACACACATTCATGGAACAAAATTTATGGTTTTTGCTAATGCCAGAAAATGAACTGCCCTGTCCCTTTCTTTTTGTCCTTTGGGCCACATCTTGTGGTGCTCAGTGGCTACTGCAGGCTCCATCTTCAAGAGTAACGGCTGAGAGTGCTTGGGGGACCATATGCTGTGCAGAGATCAAATCAGGTTTAGCTGCATTACAACTCAAGTGCCTAACTTCCTGTACCATCGCTCCTGCCCCCAATTAAACAAATCAAAACATGTGAGCACCAGAATACTGTACTATTGCTCTAGCCCCACAGTGCTTTATTTTATATATTCATTTTTTTTTTTGTTTTTGTGCCATACCTGGCAGTGGTCAGGGTTGATTCCTGGCTCTGTGCTCAGGGATCACTCTTGGCAGGGCACACAGGACCCTATGGGGTACTGGGGATTGACCCTGGCTCAGGTACGTGCAAAGCAAAGGCCCTTACTGGCTGTAGTATCATTCCTGCCCTCAAATCACAGAGCTCTGTAACAAATAAATACAAACATACATCCTAATATTTCCCTTTTGTGACTTTAACTGTTGCATATCTCTCTGAGATGGAATATCCTGCTTCCTAAAATAAGGGCATAAATAAGGGTATAAAATAAGGGTATAAATATCTCTCTTGGGCTGGAGAGATAGCACAGCAGGTAGGGCATTTGCCTTGCACGCGGCCGACCCGGGTTCGATTCCCAGCATCCCATATGGTCCCCTGAGCACTGCCAGGAGTAACTCCTAAGTGCAGAGCCAGGAGTAACCCCTATGCATCGCCAGGTGTGACCCAAAAAGCAAAAATAAATAAATAAATAAGAGGAAAGTCACGGGTCTGGAACAATAGCAAGTAGGCAAGACATGTGCCTTGCATGCAGACGATCCAGGTTTGATTCCTGTTACTCTGTGTGTGCCCCAAGTCTGCCAGGAATGAGCCCCAAGCTCAGAGCCCAGAGGAAGTTGGGTATGATCCAAATATAAACAACCCCTGCCCCAGCAAGGCCCCCCAAAAGAAGAAGCCATTGGAAATTTAAGAAAATGAATTATCAGGTGTTGATTATCACCACAAGGAATGGAAAAAATTAGGTCCAATCAAGTTAATTACCAGCTAGAACTAAGTCACTCAGTGGAATCAAATAAGACCTAAGGATACCAATATGCAGGATTAATTCACAGTTCTATGTATGTGAAGAAACATGTAAATATGACTCTCATATCAGGTAAAACAATGAAAACGTCCAGTGAAAGTTATCTTTAAGATGCTGGATGTGCTAGGTGGTAAGCCAAATATAAATAAATTTAAGACTTAAGCAAAATAGGGACCAGAAAGATAGTACAGCAGATAGGGTATCTGCCTTACATGTGTCCACGCAGTCAATCCCCAATAACCCATGGAGTTCCCTGAGTCCACCAGGAGTGATTGATGAGCAAAGTTAGGAGTAAGCTTTTAGCACCACTGGGGTATGGCCCAAAAGTAAAACAAAAGAGAAAAAGATTTAAGCAAAAAATATGAAAAGGATGCATTACAATTGGGGGGTCCTTGGTAGGAGAAATGCCAGTAGAAAAACAACTAAATGAAAATATTTGTAAAATATTTTTTATCAAAAATGAAATATGTATGGGGCAGGAGCGATAGTGGAGCGGTTGGGGCATTTTCCTTTCATGCGGCTGACCCAGGTATGATCCTCGGCATCCCGTATGGTCCCCAAGCACTAGCCAGGAGTAACTCCTGAGTGCAGAAATAGGAGTAAGCCCTGAGCATTGTCAGGTGTACTCCTACCCATGGGAAAAAAAAGAAAGAAATATATACTAGTATGCTGAAAGTAGATTTGAAAAGGGAAAAGAAAATCACCCGTTGGTCAATTAAATATATCACTTTCCACTCTTTATAAGACAGAGAAACATAAAGTTTAAAAGGAAGCTCAGAAATAATTTTTGTGAGGCATATAACTGGAGTTTCAGAATGAAAAGGGAAAAATTGGAACATAATGTGAAATTTTCAGAAACAATGACTTAAAACCTTCACATATTTGTTTTTTGGGGGGAGGGGAATGGAGGAGGAGGAGAAAGGTTTTGAGCCACAACCTGTGGCTCTCAAGAACCACAGAGGGTGATTAAACTATCGGGGATTAAACCTGAGTCGATGCATGCAAGGTAAGTGCCCTACACACTGTACTACTGCTCTATCCCCAAAACCTTCATAAACTTTGTAAAACACACATATATATATACAAAATTAAAACCTGAATTAGAGTGTAAAAATTATTCTTACAACATCAAAAAATGCCTATATACTTTTTATTTTGTTTTGGGGCCATACCCGGCAATACTCAGGGCTCATTCCTGGCTCTATGCGCAGGGATCACTCCTGGCGGTACTTGGGGGATCATATGGGATGCTGACAGGAATCAAACCCGTATCAGCCACATGCAAGGCAAGCACCTTACCACTGTACTACCATTCCAGCCCCATAAAAACTGCCAATATTTAAAGGTAAATACATCTTGGGGCTAGAATACAGCGGGTAGGATGCTTACCATACTCATGCCTGAACTGTTTGAATCCCTGTCACCCCATAGGGTCCCCCCATAGGGTCCCCCAAGCTCTTCCAGGAGTGATCTCTGAGTGCAGAGCCAGGAATAAGCCCTGAGCACCACCAGGTGTGGCCCAAATTAATATATATATGTATACATATATATATATTTCAAAGTAAAGGTATCTTTAAAGTATCAGGAAAAGGAAAGGAGCCAGGTACAATCCAGGCCTACCCAGGTACTATCCTTGGTATCCCATGTGGTCCCTGAGCACTGCCAAGACTAACTCCTGAGAATGCTAAATAATTTTCAGCTGAAATAATGGAAAACACTGTTAAAGTCTTGATTTTTTGTTTGTTTGTTTTGGGAGCCAACTAAGGACTCAGTGATCTGTGATCCCTGAGTGTACAGTAGAACCAGGGACCATAGGGGGTGTTGGGGATTGAACCTGGATCAGCTATGCACAAGGTAAGGTAACCTGGTGAACCAAGAGTGATTCCTGAGCAGAGAGCCAGGAGTAACCCCTGAGCATCACCAGGTGTGGTTCAAAAACAAAATAAGACAAACAAACAAAAAGAATTGCACTTTCAAAGCATGAAAAGATGGGGGAAAAAGCCCAAATGCATGTTTAAATGCCAACTTGAAAAGTCTATGTATGATTTTAACCATCACAGTCCACAAATGGCAAAATCATAAGAGCTAGAAATATAAGCAGTTGTTAGTGATGGACCATAGGGAAGGATGAAGAGAAAGAACCCGGAAGTTCTAGGCGAGTTAATGCTACTCTGTATGATTACAATGGTGGATATGCAGCATCATATATTTCTCCAAACCCACAGAAAGAAGAGAACCGAGAATGAATTCTAAGGTAAACCAAAGACTTAGGGTCATAATGAATTATAAATGTAGGAGTATGAACTATTACTGCTGGGAACATGTTGATTTTATTTGAAGTGTGTGTGTGTGTGTGTGTGTGTGTGAACAAAGTATTTGGGGGATGGAGTGATAGTACTTGCCTTCCATGAGGCTGACCCTAGATTAATTCCTAGCACCCCACATGTTCCTTAGCACCATCAAGAGTAATCCCTGAGTGCAGAACCTGTAGTAAGCCCTGAGCATTGTTGGTGTGGCCCCAAAACAAAAACAAAAACAAAAAATTAAGTATTTGGAAGTCATTATATTTCTGGGAACCTGAAATATAGACATTTTTTCAGAGTTCCTGTCTACAAGAATTCATACCCCATAAGAATACATCATAATTTTTTCAGGGATAAGTCTTTTGTTTGGGGGGGACTATACCCAGCAGTGCTCAGGGTTTATTCCTGGCTATACACTCAGAGATCACTCCTGGTGGGGTCCGGGAACCCGATGAGGTGACAAGGTTTGGACCTGGGATGACCATGTGCAACACAAGTTTCCTACTCGCTGTATTATGTCTCTGGCCCCATCTTCAAGGACAACCAAGTTACAAATATGTCTGTTTTTTGCCATGGCAACTGAAATCCATGGACTGGGGCCAGAGATATAATTCAGTGGTCTGAGTACATGCTTTGCATTTAGGAGGTTAGGTTTGATCTCCAAAATCACATGGTCCCCTGAGCATACCCAGGAGTAACCCCCAAGAACACAGCCAGGAAGTGCCTCTTAGCACAGTGCATGTGGCCCAAAAGAAACACAAACCAAAAAAAGACGACAGACCAGTCCTGACAGACACTCAATGGAGGTAAGGTTTTTGCCTTGTATGCAACCTACCCCAGTTCAATCCTGGTGTCACTGCATATGTTCCTCCAAGCACCAGCAGGAATGATATTTGAGCACAGAGGGGGATGCCTCTCAGTCCCTCAAATGATGATTCTAAGATCATATCACCTGTTGGAAATCTACATGGCCTCTTTTTCATTGTTTATACATGTTTTCATAAAGTAGAAATGTACTTATGACCCTTGTCATTTAGCCGCCCTCATCAAGTCAGATGTGAAATAAATGCGAAAAACACTAATGACTCACCAGAGATGCGCTCATGGTCTCTGTTCTTGAAATCACTGTGGCCCCTGGAAGTGTACCTGGGAGAGGTGAAGGGAGAAGTCAGGAAGGGACCCACATGGCTTCCTCCAAGGTCTCAGAGTCTCATGAGCCAAGCTCTCTCCTCATTAGCTGGAAAATATAAAAAAGAGAGACTTGTGTGTTGTGATGACATGTTCTATCTTGATAAAAAAAAAACATGGATGAAGGACCCAAGTCTATTCATATACAATTTATACTTCTGCTCATGTAAACAGACATGAACTGCTAAGTTAGTATTAAGAAATGGTTCTGGGGAACCACACTCAGTGGGGCTCAAGGTACTCTGGGGACACTCTTGGCCAGTGTTAGTCCGGCCAGTGTGGGCTTGGTTATTAGACCCAGCCCTGCTTAGGAATCCTTGAGGTCACATGTGCTAGTGCATGTACTGCACATGGGACAAAGAGTGCCCAGGAGCAAACTCAGAGTATCTTTCAGGCTAAATAAATAAGTGCTTTACCACTTGACCAATCCACAATCTGATAGGCAATTTTTTTTTTAAGCCACACCTTGGAGGTGCCCAGAACTTACTCTTGGTTCTGTGCTCAGGGACCACTTCCGGTGGGCTTGGAAAGCAACATGGGATGCTAGGGATTCAAACTTGGGTCAATTATACGTGAGGGAAGCAACCTACCTACTGTACTATCACTTCAGCCCCATGTGTCCTTTTAAAATATCTAAACATTACAGAGTATCTAAATCTGGTTTAATATATATATTTGGTGGGGCCAGGGTCATAGTACAGCAGGTAGAGCACTTGCCTGGCATGTAGCTAACAGAATTCAATCCCCAGCACCCCATATGTGCCCTGAGCCAATTAGGAGTGAGCCCTGAGCACAGAGCCAGGAGTAAGCCCTGAGCACCACCAGATGTGGCCCCCAAATAAAAAACAAACAAGCAAAAGAAACCATTTTGGCCCACAATCTTATGTGAAGGGCTGCTGGCCCACAATTTTGTATGAAGGGCTGTACTAACTGGGGCCAGTGAGATAGTACTATGGTTAGAGAACTTGCCTTGCACATGACTGACTCAGGTTTGATCCCCGGCACCCCACAGGATTCCTCAAGTGCTACCAGCAGTGACCCCTGAGTGAAGAGCCAGGAGCAAGTCTTGAGCACAGAATGTGGCCGCCAAACAAAAACAAACAAACAAACAAACAAGATGTTTTTGTACTTAAGAGTAGTAAGCCATTCCAGTAACAGTTCCCAAAGACTTGCTTCCCGGCTTTGAAGTTCTTCTAGCAATGATTTGAGCTTTCTCTTGTTTTGGCCAATGGGAAAACCACAGAGATAAGCACAAAATTAAAAGTATTTTTTGACTGTAGCTCCTGACTGGATGAAATCTGGCATGGCTTACTCAACAACCAGCAGAAACCACCATAATACAAAAGAAGTAAATCTGAAGCTGGATTGATAATACAGCAGGTAAGGCACATGCCATGCCATAGCCTTACCATACCTTAACCATAGCAGTTTGATCCTCGGCATCACATATGGTCCCCAGAGCACTGCCAGGAGTAATTCCTGAGTGAGAGCAAGGAGTAATCCCTGAGCATTGTCAGGTATGGCCCCCAAAGCAAAATCAAAACAAAACAAAAAAGAAGCAAATCCACCAAAGTATTAAGACAAAGCACCATATGGCTACCACCATGTTTGTCATCCAGAAAAGAGTGTTCAGAAAACTACCAACTCAGGGTCTGAACAACAGTACTTGGATATCATTGTGAGAATTACCACATCTTCTATGTAATAAATAAAATTTTTTTTAGATTCTGTATTAGTATATTAAACTAGTAAATTTTGATTGGTGATATATCAATACTACTTTATTATTTACGATAGTAAATACTACTTGATATTCTTAAGCCCCTCACGTTTAATCTATTTTTTTGGGGAGGTCACACCTGGTGATGCACAGGGGTTACTCCTGGCTTATACACTCAGGGATTACTCCTGGTGGTGCTCAGGGGACCATATAAGATGATGGAAATCAAATCCGGGTAGGCCATGTGCAAGGTAAACACCCCAGCCCCTGTGCTATCGCTCCAGCCCGCCCCCCCCAATTTAATTTATTTGGGGACCAGAGAGATAGTACAGCAGGTAGGGAATTAGCCTTGCACACAGCCAATCCTGATCTGATCCCTGACACTTCATAGGGTCCCTCAAGCCTCACCAGAAGTGATCTCTGAGCAGAGAGCCAGGAGTAAGCCCTGGGCATCCTCTGGTATTACCTCAAAACAAAGCACTGAACTGCAGCAATGTCCTCCCGTTGTTCATTGATTTGCTCGAGCGGGCACCAGTAACATCTCACAACAAATTGTGAGACTTGTTGTTATTGTTTTTGGCATATCGAATACGTCACAGGTAGCTCGCCAGGCTTTGTCATGAGGGCGAGATACTCTTGGTAGCTTGCTGGGCTCTCCGAGAGGGGTGGAGGAATCGAACCCGGGTCGGCTGGTGCAAGGCAAACACCCTACCCGCTGTGCTACCGCTCCAACCCCCTCAAAACAAAAAACAAAACAAAACAAAAGACCACCAAAACTTGATCTATTTTAAGAATTTCTGTGGGAGGTCTAGAATTACCACCAAATATAACAACTTGAACACCACAGGTGGAAGCAGGATGTTTCAAGAGTGTAATGAATGTGAACAGACAGGAAGCCGGGGTTACTGGAACGGAGAGACTGTGAATCACAGAAATGTCTGCAGAGCAGATGAGGATCTTCAAGCTTACCATACCAGAAACGACTGCTAGTTTTCGTCTTTGCATTACAACATCTCCATCTGCTTGCTTGCTTTTTTCCTTCCTTCCTCCCTCCATACCTTCCTTCTCTCCTTTCTTTCCTTTCCTCCTCCATCCCTCCCTCCTTCCCTTTCATCCATCCATCCCTTCCTCCCTTCATTCCATTCCTCCATCCCTCCCTCCCATGGGCAAGCCACTTACGTGCACCACCTAAATGTCCTATCATCAACCTCTTGGTAGAGCAGGAACAGGAATGCAGGCACAGAACACCCACCCTCCAGATCTCTGCAGACCTTCCCTTCCCAGCTGCGCTTTGGGGCTGTGCCACCAAGGGCACCAGGCCTGTGCAAGTTCACTCCCGCCCCCTTGCGAAGAAGTGACGAACGAAGCCCACACCAGCCTTGCCCCTTCCCTGCATCCAGACTGATGCTCTCCTCCCAGACCTGCCACAATCCCAGAGCACCTGAACTCATTGCCATCTGCTTACTGTGCAGCAACCAAACTGCCAGATGCCCTCAATTCTCTACTGCAGAGGGTCCCAAAGTTAACAGGCCTTTCAGAATAAAAAGAAAGAAAAACAAGGGACCACAGAGTAAACAACACTGAAAATAAGAGATCCAAATTTTCATAACCAAACTTTAAAATGTGTCTGTCAGGACCAGAGCAATAATACAGCAGGTTAGGTGTTTGCCTTGTATACAGGTGACCTGGGGTTTGATCCACAGCATCCCATACAGTCCCCTGAGCACTGTCAGGAGTGATTCCTGAGTGCAGAGCTAGGAGTAGCCCCTGAGCATCACAAGGTATGACATCCTGCGGCAAAAAAATGTGCCTGTCTAGGGCGCTTGCCTTGCACGCAGCCAACCCAAGTTTGACCCCCAGATCCCCAGAGGATTCCCCAAACCTGCCAGGAATGATCTTGGGGCTCAGAGCCAGGAGTAAGACTTGAGCACTGTCGGGTGTGGCACCAAATCAAAATAATAATAATAATAAATAAAAATTTAAAAAGAAAAACAGGGGGCTGGAACTATTATACAATGGGAAAGATGCGTGCCTTGCACATAGCTGCCCCAGGTTTGTTCCTGGACCTGGGCATCCCACCGCCTCCCCCAAATCCTGCCAGCAGTGATTCCTGAGCACAGAGCTAGGAGTAAGCCCTGAGCCTCACCAGGTGTAGCCCAAACACAGAAAGAAGCAAAAACTGAGACTTGCATGAAATCTACCTTCAAGTTAATAAACAGAACCCCCTCCCCCACTTTTGCCCTCAAAACTACTATAATACCCCTTACTTATTATATTACTATAATACCCCAGGTACAGAGCCAGGAGGAAGTCCTGAGCACCACTGGGTATGGCCCCTCCAATATCTTTTGTTTTGTTTTTTTGCTTTTTTGGGTCACACACGGTAGTGCACAGGGGTTACTCCTGGCTCTGCACTCAGGAATTACTCCTGGCAGTGCTTAGGGGACCATATGGGACGCTGGGATTCGAACCCGGGTTGGCTGCATGCAAGGCAAACACCCTACCCGCTGTGCTATCACTGCAGCCCCTCCAATATCTTTTTAAATGAAAAATAAATTTTACAAATACAGACTACTGCCCCTTCCCCGTCTGGGAGTCCTGGATGGGGTGACTCTGAAGCTCCAGAAACCGCATTCAAGCCTTATGGTCCTCCTTTGAAATATGAGCACCAAAACTATTCTCTGGAACTAGCGAGTCTCACATATTGTCCCCTCTCCCCCCCAGCCCCCACTCCCCGGCCTTTCTTTTTGTTTTGTTTTTTTGAGTCACACCCAATGCTGGGCAATGCCAGGCACTCAGGGATTACTCCTGGCGGTGCTCAGCGGACAGTATGAGGTGCTGGAGTTGGCTGTGAGGTAAGTGCCTTAACCCTTGATTGTCACTCCCTTTCCACTTTTTTGGGTCACACCCGGCAATGCTCTGGGGATCACTCCTGGCAGTATTCGCGGACCATATGGGATGCGGGGATGGAACCCAGGCCAGATGCGAGCAAGGCAAACGTCCTGCCCTACCAGCTGTACTATTGCTCGGGCCCAAGTTCCTTTCCACTTTCGCATTTCCTCCCTATCTGGGGTTCTAGAGCTCTGCCTCTTTCACACTCACTCCTGCACTCACCTCCTCTCACACTCTGTCCTGTTCCCTTCTTGGACGAGTCTAGGGTTTGTCACCCCTGGACTTAACTCCCCTCCTCCTTCTATCTGTTCCTCCAGCCCCACATGCCCAAGGTCAGCGAAGTGATAAAACTTCTAGAGATGCTCCAAAGAAATTACACCGTTCCCAGCCCAGAAGCGGAAAGGCCACACTCCTTTTGCAGATGCAGCAACTGAGACCTGCGGAGCACAGGCATGATGCTAGGGGCAGCCCCGAGGAGGAGGCTGGATTCGCCCAGGAGATAGAAACTTCCTTCCGCAGGAACAAAAAGTCAGAATAAGAGGCAAGGCGCTGCAAAAACTAACTTTCCCGATGAGAGGTGATGGGGGGGGGACTGGGGGAGGGGAACCCTCTGCAAAAACGAACTTTCTCAACGCAGGGGGCGCTCGCTTCCCTCTGCAGAAGTCTGCATTCTCTGTTCTCTCTGGCAAGTGCTTCTCTCTCTCTCTCTCTCTCTCTCTCTCTCTCTCTCTCTCTCTCTCTCTCTCTCTCTCTGTCTCTCTCTCTCCCTGTCTCTCTCACCCGTAATTCCTAAATGAAGTGTTTTTACTCAACTATTCATCGCCCACCTACTCTTCGCGGGGCGGCAACACTGGGAGAAAGCCTTTGCAGCCCCAGGCCCCTGGAAAAAATGCCTGCCTGGGGATCCTGAGATGCAATCGTGCAAACCTCGGGTGCATTTGCATACCTGCCTTGCAGAGCTGGGGGGAACCCCTTGGGGTTCCTGCCATGCAGACACTAGAGGTCGACTTTTAGCAGTCCTAAGCACCATGCCCCACTTCCTTTGGCACTTTCAGGGAAAATAAATGGGTCAAGCAGAAGACTGGTAGTGTCCTTTCTCGTTGTTCCCACCTCCCTGGCTCCCCACTTCTCCCACCAACATTAGCTCCAAGCACCACCTTCCAACTCCCTCCCAGTCTTTGTTCCTAGCGCCCCAGCTCTCCACCAGCCTCAGATTTGCAAGCATGGACCCCCCCTCACCCACCTTTCTACTTCCTCCGATCCCGTGTCCAGGGCCCCAGCTCCTCCTCCAGTCTCACAATGAACTTGAGTAAACAGTCCACATGGACTAGGAGCAGGAATTTGCAGCGGAAAAGGGAGAAGAGGGGGGCGGTTGGGGGTTCCGTACCTGCGCACAAGTAACCCGGATGACTCCCAGACGTGACTTGCGAAACTGCAGTGGGGGCGCGGACTACATTTCCCACAAGCCTCCACGCGCGGGGCAGGGCCTTCCAGAAGGGTTTGTTGGCTCTGGAACCCGGTCCTCCTCCACGTTGCTGGAACAGAATCAGCGATGGTCACTTGGGATTCTGGTTCTTTGTGCAATTCTCATTTGACTGCTAGAAAGGAAAGGGACTGAATGAGAACATGCAGATGGGGGAGGGAAAGATCATAATACCCCACGTCAGCTCTAGTGGTTTTTGTTGTATAAATGGCACATTTTTGCCAATTGCATCATAAAGCAGGAATGGTGAAAGAGCACAACGTCTTTATGCTATAAAACTCCGTAACAACCAACATGGTAAGTATGTAACTTGATTCAATTCACTTTCTTTGTTTTGTTTTGGGTTTACTCCTGGCTCTGCATTCAGGGTTCATTTCTGGCTTAGAGGGTGCTGGGGTCGAGCCCTGGATAGTCGTGTACAAGGCAAATGCCCTACCCGGTGTACTATCGCTCTGGTCCTCAATTCACTACTTTTTTGGGGGGGAGGTCACAGCGGGTGATCTCAGAAATCACTCCTAACGGTGCTCAGAGGACCATAAGGGATGCTGAGGATAGACTGAATCTTGGTAAGCCACATGCAAGGCAAGTTCTCTACCTGTTCTGCTATCTCTCTGGTTCCTGTTTTGTGTGCTTGGGTTAGATTCACAACACTGCATAGTTTATTGAGCATAGGCCAAGGGCCAATTTTAGTCCCTGAACACCACCATATATGACCCAAACAAATAGAACAAAATAAACCAAAGATGTCCGTTCTCATCCACTCCAAGAATGTCTGTCAATGATATCCCACTGTTAGAAAACCTGCCAGAGAGCCGGAGAGGTAGTAGAGTAGGTAGAGCTTTTACCTTGCATGTAGCTGACCCAGATTCTATCCCTGGCATCCCATGTCGTCCCCTGAGCACCAACAAGAGTCATTCCTCTGTGCAGAGCAAGGATTAACAGCCCCTGAGCATCACTGGGTGTGACCAAAAAACAAAAGCAAAGCCCTGCTAGTGTGCATGCAAAAATTAAAGAGGCTAGAGTGATAGCACAGCAGGTCAACTTGGGTTCGAACCCTGGCACCTCATATGGTTTCTCAAGCACTACCAGGAGTGATTCCTGAACAGAGCCAAGAGTAAGCCATGAACATCAACACGTGTGGCTCCCAAATTAAATAACAGAGTTATAGGGTGAGTGAACTAAAGAGTTGTGCCAGTATGCATGATCTGATTTAATTGGCCAAGGACATCTATTTGCAAGATATTTGTGTTTTGGTATATTTCTCAAAAGAAATAGGGGATGGATGTTAAGGTAGATCACTCCTGGCTGTCCTTGGGTGCTACTTCTGACTTAGTGCTCAAGGTCACTATCTGGTACTGGGGGAACCATGTGGTATGAGGAATTAAATCCAGCTCTCCACGTGCAAAGCCTGGACACAGCCCAGTGAGCCATCTCTCTAGCCAATATACACATTTATGCCAACATGCCTGGGAGATTATGTGTATACCCAGTATCATACATTTGAGACAGGCTCAGGTTCAGCTCTTTATTATAAACTTTTATTGGATACGTCATTGTATTTATCTGGGCCTCTACTCCATGCCCAAATCATGGGGATTTTGGAATATATTCTTCTTCATGAGATATCCTCAGTCGTATATGCATGGTAACTTCAATTTCTGGAATGTTGGCTCCTCCTCCGCTTCTCTTCTCCTTCCATGATTTATGAAGTTTTTTTTTTCTTTTTTGGCTTTGGGATCATACCTGGTGATGCTCAGAGGTTTCTCCTGGTTCTGCACTCAGGAATTACTCCTGGCTGTGCTCAGACCATCTGGCATGCTGGGGACTGAACCTGGGTGGGTCACGCATGTGCAAGGAAAATGTCTTTCCCACTGTACTATTTCTACTTCCTCCAAAGTTGTTCTTAGTAGTTGGTTCAGACACAAATGTTTCCTTTTCATTTTTTTTCTTTTTGGGTCACACCTAGCTATACTCAGGGGTTACTCCTGGCTCTACACTCAGGAATTGCTTCAGTCAGTGCTTGGGAGACCATATGGGATGCCATGGATTGAACCCGGGTTGGCTGTGTGCAAGACAAATGCCCTACCCGCTGTACTATCACTCCAGCCCCCATAAATATTTTCAACACCAATCCCATTAGTAGTGTGACTAAAGCAATAGTATAACGAGTAGGGCACTTGCCTTGCATATAGCTGACCCGGGTTCAATCTTCAGCATCCCTTATGATCCCCTGAGCACAGCCAGGAGTAATTTCTGAATGCAGAATGAGGAGTAATCCCTGAGTATCACCAGAGGTGGCCCCAAAACCGAAATAAAAACTAAAGATTCTCTATAAATATTCTTTCTTTTCTAGTAAGTGAATACCATAATGTAATTAGACATAATCACAGCAATGGGTATTTACAGAAGGTTTTTTTTTTCTTTTTGGGTCACACCCGGGGTTACTCCTGGCTCTGCACTCAGGAATCACTCCTGGCGGTGCTCAGGAGACCATATGGGATGCTGGGATTCGAACCCGGGTTGGCTGCGCGCAAGGCAAACGCCCTACCCGCTGTGCTATCGCTCCAGCCCATAAAATATTCTTATGGAAAATGCTAACTGGCAAGGCATTGATCCCCAAGACCCCTACCATCTTTCAGGCAGGAATTCAGCAGTGACCTTATGAAAGTAATGAAACATCACATGACAAGCTGGAGTAATGGCATAGAAGGCAGGTTGCTTGTCTTCCACACAGCGAAGCCAGGTTGATCGCCAACATCCCATAGCGTCCCCAGACACCCACCAGAAGTGATCCCTGAGCATAGAGCCAGGTGTCAGCCCAGAGCACTTGGGGAAGGGATGGCAGGTAACTTGGACTTACAAACAGTGAAACTCCTGTACACTAAGAACCTTCTAGAAGGAATTGAGGTTTGCCCTCAAGTTTGCCAGAAGTGCAGAGACAGGCAGATTTCGAAGAGGCCAGAGGCCGGGGGTGATGGCTTTTCGGGCTTTGGTTTTTCAGTCCAACCGGTGGTGCTCCGGGGTAGTTCCTGGCTCTGGTCTCGGGGGTCGTGCCCGGCAGTGTTCGGGACCCTACGCGGTGTCAGGGATCCAACCCGGGCAGGTAGCACGCGAGGCAAGCCCTGCCCTTCCGCTGTCCTACCGCTCCGGCCCCATTTAAGAAAGAGCTTTATTTCCAATCTTATTTCTAGCTTTTTTTTAAATTTCCAAGTTTACCTTTCCAGAGAGTCCAGAAGAGATTTTTGGTTTTGTTTTTTCATGCTTGACGAACTCACACAAGCAACTCTCTTTTGTGCGGTTGTTTTTCAGCCGCACCCCGTGCTCGGGGCTGGGAATCAGCCCTGGCAGGGCTGGCGGGTACGGGCTGCCCCGCTTCTGGCCGCGGGCCAGGCGCAGCCCCCCGCCCCAAACAACACTCAGAAAACACCCCTCGCGGTGGCAAGGTCGTGGTCAGCCTCCTCCTGAGAACTGACTCAGAGGGGCACGCGGCCCCTCAGTGCCCTTCGGAGGCGGGCGACCCACGGCTCCTTATCCGGCCGGTAGCCAGCCCCGCCTCGCGCCGCCTCCCCCTCAGGGCCTCGCCCGGCCCCGCGCGCCTCCCCTCAGCCCCGCCTCGCCCGGCCCAGCGCGCCTCCCCGTCAGGACCTCGCCCGACAGCGCGCGCCTCCCTTCAGCGTCGCGCGCCCCGTCCTGCTCGTCACACCCCGCCACAGCGTCTCGCGTCCCGCCCGGCTCGCCAAACTCCACCCCCCTGTGCCTCGTCCCGCCCCGCTCGTCCCGCCCCGCCCCGCCCCCTGCGCCGCGTCGCGCCGACTCATCCCGCGTCGCCCCGCCCCCAATGCCAACTCACTCTGTGCCGCCCCGCCTCGCCCCAGCGACGACGCATGCCGTCATGTCGCCCCGCCCCAAGCCGGATCGCATACCCCCGCCCGGTTCGGCAGCCCCTCCCTAGCCCCGCCCCCTATGCGCGCTACGCCAATCACCGGAGCAGCCAGGTCACGCCCCCAGCGGGTCCCCCGTGCGCCACTCCAGAGGGTGATGCTAAGTTAGTGCTAAGTTCTCGCTGTCCTTTGTGCTAAGTTCTCGCTGTCCCTCCTACTGTATTCCTTTTATTTTTATATTTTGTTTTATTTTTTAAATTTTTATGAGTGAAACACCATGAGGTGCAGTTGTGGACTTGTAAGCTTTTGTATTTGGGTTTCAGTACCCATTCCTCCACCAGTGCCCATTCTCCACCACCAGTGATCCCAGTATCCCTCCCACCCCACAACCCCCCTCCCCCCCATTCTATCCTGCCTCTGTGGCAGGGCATTTCCTTTTGTTCCTCTCTCCTTTTGGGCGCTGAGGTTTGCAAAAGAGGCATTGAGTGGCAATCATATTCAGTCTATAGTCTACTTTCAGCATGCTTCTCCCATCCTGGGAGGATCCTCCCAACACCCTTTACTTAGTGTTCCCTCCGCTATGAGAGCTGCCTTTTCTCCTAGCATGTGCAGCAGGCCTTCAAGCCATGGAGTGAACCTCCTGGTACTTATCTCGACTATTCTCGGATGTTAGTCTCCTATTTTGTTACTTTATATTCCCCAGATTAATGCAATCTTTCTATGTCTGTCGCTCTCTTTCTGACTCATTCCACTTAGCATGATACTTTCCATGTAGTACCACTTGTATGTAAATTTCATGACTTCATCTTTTCTAAGTATTCAATATGCCAAACACAGTAACAACAAGTCTCACGATGAAGATGTTACTGGGCCCGCTCGAGCAAATCGATGAATAACAGGAAGACCATGACCGTGACCATCTTTTCTAATAGCTGCATAGTACTCCAGTGTGTAGATGTACCAAAGTTTCTTTAACCAGTCATCTGTTCTCGGGCACTTGGTTTTTTTCCAGATTTTGGCTATTGTGGACAGTGCAGCAATGAACATAGAAGTGCAGGTGTCATTTCAGCTATAATTTTTGCCTCCCTGGGATATATTCCCAGGAGTGGTATTGGTGGGCCAAATGGGAGCTCAATTTCTAATTTTTTGAGAATTGCCCATACTGTTTTCCAAAAGGGCTGAACCAGTCAGCATTCCCACCAGCAGTGAAGGAGAGTTCCTTTATTGCCACATCCGCGCCAGCACTGGTTGCTTTTGTTCTTTTGGATGTGGACCTACTGTATTCCTTTGTAATGATGGTTTTTGTAAAAGTCATTTTCTCTCATGCTTCTGTTACGCATTCTGAGTTTCTGCTCTACTGCGAGGTTTCTGCAATCCTGGAGGAAGGAACAAGGGGGTTTGTGGTACAAATAGGACTACCCGGGCAGGTCAGCAGGTTAGCAGACATGCATAGGGGTGGGGAGAGAGGGAAATGGGGGATTGGACATCATCCCCCAATGGTGGCTCAAGTGTCCCCTCCCTCTCTCTCCCCTTCTCTCCCCCTCTCTCCTACTCCCTCTCTCCCTCCCTCTCTCCCTCTCCCTTCCTCTCTCTCCCTCTCCCCCTCCCTCCCTCTCTCTTCCCTCTCTCTCCCTTCTCCCTCTTTCCCCTCCCTCTCTCCCTTTCCCCTTCTCCCTTCTCCCTCTTTCCCTGGCCCTCTCTCCCTCCCTCTCCTCCCTCTCTCTTTTCCTCCCTCCCTCTCCCTCTCTCCCTTCCTCTCTCTCCCTCCCCCCCATTTTCTTTTGGTGTTAGGGCCACATCTGGCAGTGCCCAGCACCCACTCTTAGTTCTGTGCTCAGGGATCACTCCTGGTGGGGATCAGGGAAACGTAAAGGGTTCCAGGGATGGAACTCAGATCTGCGTTGTATAACCACCATATCTCTGGATCCAGTTTTCACTTTTTTTCCAGAGACAACTCTGTGCTGACAAGATAGGAGAGTAGGGCGTGCTTCTGACAGCTTTCGCACCTGTGTTTGGCAAGGAAGAGCCTTTTCACATATACCCAGGAAGAGAAATGAAGCAGAAAACATGCTGATCCGAGGCAGCCACTAGCTCTGCCTGTGATTTTAAACAGCCTGAGAAAATTGATGTGTCAGCCTCAGGTCTAATAACTAAGTCCCTGCACTAGCCGTTGTCTTTTCTAATAATTCAGTGTCTGCTTTCATCTAGATGATGACTGAGAATGCAGCAAACATCAAATTTTCCCTGTCTCTATTGTTATGTGTGTGGTCCTTTGTGGCTAGATTCTAACCATGTAGCTAATTCTAGACCTTGGGATGTCAGCAGAAAAAACTGTGTGGTAGCCAGTGGAAACCCCCTCCAGACAGATGCTTTTTTTTTTGCCACACCCTGCAGTGCTCAGGGCTTACTCCTGGTGGAGCTCAGGGGACCCTGTGGGATGCCACGGATCAAATCTGGGTTCATCTGCATGCAACACAAGTGCCCTCCCCGCTGTACTACTGCTCCAGTCCTGAAAGATGCTTTCTATAGCGTATTTCCGTTCCTTCTCTATACAGGTTTTTTTTAAAATTTTTATTGCTGAATCCATACAGGTCTTGCACGCAGATATGTCGCTCAAATCCTGACTGCCACTCTGAATATCAAGACTAGTTCACAGCTACAGATAAGTGGAGAATGAAGGTGTGGTATAGATACACAATGCAATACTAGAGAGTTGCAAGGAAGGATTAAAATCATGCAATTAGCCGCTACTTGGGTGGAACTAGAAGATCTCATGTTGAATAAAATTCAGTAAGAAGAAGAAAGACAACTTATTAGATGAACTCTCTTATTGGTGGTATATAGGATAATAGGACAAGGGCTAGAGCTATAATACATTGAGTAGGGCGCTTGCCTTGCACAAGGCTGATCCAGGTTTGAGCCTTCACTGTTACATGTGGCCCCCTAAAATGAATTATTTTTAAAAAGAATAACAGGATAAGGAGGATACCTAGATCACCCTAGAACCTGACTGTAGGTCTAAGAACAGAGAAAGAAACTGAGGGGCCAGAGCAATAGGATGGTGGGTAGGACATTTACTTTGCACAGTCAGCCAGGGTTTGATCCCCACCATCTTACATGGTACCTGAGCACTGCCGGGGAATCCTATATTGTCTCCTGAGCATGCAAGGAGAGATCCCTGAGTGCAGAGTCAGGAGTAAGCCCTGAGCACTGCTGGGTGTGCCCTCCTGCCCCCCAAAACCCATTTTAATCAAAACTAGAGTATTATCACATAATGACCTAGTGTCACTCACGTACTATATATGTATTTTCTTTGTTTTGTTTTGTTTTGGGGTCACACCCAGCAATGCTCAGGGATTAACTCCAGGCTCTGCTCTCAGGAATTACTCCTGGCAGTGCTCAGGGGACCATAGGGGTGACATGAATTGAACCTGGATTAGCAGCAAGCAAGGCAGCAGCAAGAAGGCAAATGCCCTACCCACTGTACTATGACTCAAGCCCCAGTATTGTTTGCTATTAAGTGGTAAATGAGAAGGTTGTAAGGAACATACAGGTAACAATTGGGATGTCTTTTCCTCATGACTGGCACAGGTCCAAGAAAGGTTGAAATTCAGACTTGAGTAGAATGTTTTCTGCTTCTCATAACAAAACATTTGTGAAGACCTCTCTTTGGCCAAGAAGATCAAGTTGCAGCCATGGTGGTTACTAAGGAAAGCGTCAGACAGTGCAGGACATGACTGAGGAACAAGAACCAACAATACAAATAAAATACATTGCCTGTGAAATAGCTTGATTATCATTTATTTTTTACGCAGTTATAATACATACGAAGGGAGAACTTTTAGGGAAATTGAGGAAAACGGCTTTCCCACCAGTCCTTACTGTTAAGACGGTATATTCATTCTATGGCTTCCAAAACAAGTCTGGGTCTCACATGTACTTCAGGACCAGAAAGCATAAAAAGTCAGGGAAGAATTCCTATCACTGTTCTATAGGCACACATGGACATAATCATTTTTTTGGTTTTTGGGTTATATCTGGCAATGCACAGGGGCTACCTCCTAGCTCTGCACTCAGAAATTACTCCTGGCAGTGCTCAGGGCACCATATGGGATGCTGGGAATTGAACCCAGGTTGGCAGTGTGCAAGGCAAACACCCTACCCACTGTACTATCGCTCCAGCCCCAATATTCCTTTTTTTTTCTTTTTGGGTCACACCTGGCGATGCACAGGGGTCACTCATGGCTCTGCACTCAGCAGTTACTCCTGGCGGTGCTCAGGAGACCATATGGGATGCTGGCGAACCTGGGTCAGCCGCGTGCAAGGCAAACACCCTACCCGCTGTGCTATCGCTCCAGCCCCTCCTTCTTGTATACATATTTTGCCTGGTTTAAAACTAACTTATAGGGGCATACATATAGGAAAGGGAGGCTGGCAGGTGCAGGGTAACTGCATGCCCTTATTTTAGCAGAAGAAAGGCCAGTTTCTACAATCCCACTGACATTCTTGTATGAGCTCTGTAATATCCTATGGAGTTTGGCTTCTGGGCAAAATTTTTCCTACATTGTTAACATTCATAGGGTTTATCTTCTGTGTGAATTCTCTGGTGTATAATGAGATTTGACTTCCTTGAGAAAGTTTTCCTACAATCTTTACATTCATACGGCTTCTCTCCTGTGTGAGTTCTGCTATGTGAAATGAGGTGTGACTTCCTGGAGAAAGTTTTGCTACAGTCTTTACACTCATAGGGTTTCTCCCCTGTGTGAATTCTCTGATGTAAAGTGAGGTCTGATTTGCGGTAAAAGGTTTTCCTACATTCTTCACACTTAAAAGGTTTCTCTCCTGTGTGGCCTCTCTGATGTAAAGTGAGATCTGACTTCCGGTAGAAAGTTTTTCTACATTCTGTACATTCATAAGGTTTTTCTCCTGTGTGAGCTCTTTGATGTAAAATCAGTCCTTTTCTCCAGGAGAAAGCTTTCCTACAAACTTTACATTCATAAGGCTTCTCTCCTGTGTGGACCCTCTGATGTACAGTGAGGTGTGCCTTACAAGAGAAAGTTTTCCCACATTCTTTACATTCGTACGGTTTCTCTCCTGTGTGAATTCTCTGGTGTATAGTGAGGTAGGACTTCAAGAAGAATGTTTTCTTACATTCTTTACATTCAAAGCGTTTCTCTCCTGTATGGCTTTTGAGATGTACATTGAGGGCTGAATTCGAAGAGAAAGTTTTCCCACACTGTTTACATTCATAGGGTCTCTCCCCTGTGTGAGTTCTATAATGTAAAGTGAGTCCCTTCCTCCATGAGAAAGTTTTCCCACACTCTTTACACTCATAGGGTTTCTCTCCTGTGTGGATTCTCTGATGGACAGTGAGGTCTGACTTTCGGCTGAAGGATTTCTTACATTCTGTACATTCATAGGGTTTCTCGCCTGTGTGGATTCTCTGGTGTTGAAGGAGTCCTCTTCTCTGGGATAAAGTTTTCCCACATTCAGAACATATATATTTAATTTTCTCTCTCATGTGTTTTCTCCGATGTCTGTTGATGGTTGGACACTGACTGGTTTTCTGACCCTCAAGCGGTTTTCCATCTGTATGTATTTCTGCATATTCAGGGAGCGTGAAAATATCATTGTAGATAGTTGTGTGAACCTCATGATTCTGTACAGGACACAACTCATCAGGGTCAATGATTGGAAACATATTTTCACATCCATTATCTTCCTCCTTCATGAGGACAGGAGAGTTCCCAGGAGTGATCACTGGTTTTGAAATACAGCTTGAGTTCAGATTAAAAGGATTTTCGAAATTCATTAAATCCCTTTTTGCCACTTTCTTCTCAGTGGTTATATCTTGCCAGAAATGTCTATCCTGATTTTTCTGGTTCTTCTCAACCAAATAATCCACATGCTGAAAGTCTAAAATTAGGAATAATTATGAGACATATGGAAACATTCCTGTGGGTTGATACTATAAATATAAATAAGTTTCTTCAATCCTAGAAACATAAAATACATTTTTAGGAGCAGGGCCACACCCAAGGTTCTCAAGGGTTACTCCTGGCTTTGTGCAGGGGAACATACGGGCTACTGGGGAGTGAATCTGTGTCGGCCACATGCAAAGCAAGTGCCCAACCTGCTGTACTGTCACTCCTGCCCCAGTACATTTTTCTTTTAAAGATGTGCACTTATATCATTGTTTTGTTTTCTGTTTTTTGGGCCTTACTCAGCAGCACTCAGGAATCTCTCCTGGGAGGGGGTTCCTGTGAGCTGCCAGGGATTGAATCTGGATTGGTTATATGCAAGGCAGACATCCCACCCTGTACTCTCTCTCCAGTGCAATGCACCAGTGTTTAAAAGATGGTTTTTAGCATTTAGTTATTCACAAATTCTAAATTAAATACTACATGATTGACTTCACAGCATAGGAAATGCTGGTTCATCATTTTGAGCTACACTTCCACTTCTGCAATAATAGTTGGGCTTTTATTTTTTGGGGAGGCTACACCTGGCTGTGCTCAGGGCTTATTCCTGGCTCACATCTCAGGGATCACTCCTGGTGGGGGGTGGGGACAGGGAACCATATGGGGCGCCAGCGACAGAACCTTGCATGCAAGAAAAGCACCCTACCTACTATAATATATCCCTGGCGGCCTCTATGCTCTAAAACAGCATTCTTTCATACTGTTCTGAGATTAATAGTACTCACTTCTCTTTATTAAATGGGTCCTAGCTCAGTAATTTGTTACATTTTTTTGTTTGTACCACACCCAGTGGTGCTCAGGGTCAACTATTGGCTCTGTACCCAAAGATCACTCCTAATGGGCTCAGGGACACTGTGGGATGCTGAGGATTGAACCCGGGTCTGTTGCATGCAAGGCAAATATCCTACCTACTGAAAGATTGTTCTGGCCCCTACTCACAATTTCTGCTGCTGTGTTTCAGGATCCTAGTCTTTGAACCTCTTTTTTCACAATAATATTATCACCTTAGGTCACCACCTCTAAAGATTTTGCATCCTTCCTCATGTTTTCCACACTTAACTCCATGTGTATTTGGACTAGAAATTACAAGTTTGTATATTAAACAGTCATCTTCAACTCAGAATTCATCAATATTGTCTCCTGAGAGCATCTCTCCATCGGTGCTCCTGAGAACTTGTCAATTCACCTAAAATGAACTTGCCATTTTACTCTCTCCTAGTGAAACCTTCCTGTGACTTATTTCACCTTTAAACATTCTCCTTTGGTTCATTTCTCTCTATATACAATATCAGGTGCAGAAAGGGGTATTTGTTTCTATTCCGATTGAACCTAAATTCACTTGATTTGACAGTGAACATTAACATGTCACACAAACAGCTGAAGTGATAGTACAGTGGGGAGGGGCACTTGCCTTGCATATGGCCAACTGAGTTTCATCCCCAGATGGGCCCCTGGTGCTGCCAGGAGTGATCTCTGAGCATGGAGCCAGGAACATGTTCTGAAATCTCCTGGGTGTGCCAGGTCCCCACCCCCACGACCCCCCTAAACGTTACAGGAATTGAAAAAATGTATGAATAAGGGGCCAGAGTGATAGTAAAGTGGGTTGGGCATTTGCCTTGCACATAGCTGACCAGGGTTCCATCTTCACCATCCCATACGGTCCCCTAAGCACCACCAGGAGTAATTCTTGAGAGCAGAGCCAGGAGTAACCCCTGATCATCACAGGGTGTGACCCAAAAGCTGAACAAAATAAAAAGTATGAATAAGCCCTGAAAGAAAATATTCCATGAGAATGAAGGACATTATAGTAACTGTGAACTTAGAGACAATTAGTAAGGAAATAAAAGTTTGCAAGACAGTAGGGTAGGCATGGCATTTGGAGAATCTACAGCCACTAAGAAAGTCTGAGATTTTCAACTCAGAGCCCAAGCTGAGACTGAACAATGCATAAGACTTGCATTTGGAGTCACTTCTGCAGGGGAACAGGATGGACAGATTAGCTGCCTCTGCCCACTCTGTCCTCCCTGACCCGTATGCAATGACTGACCTGAGAGGGTGTGTTTTAAGGCTTTCACTGTCCAGGGCTCTACTCTCTGCTCCAACTTGGTGATTACTTCTGGTTTGGTGAGTGAATGTCCTGTGGGTAAAAAACTCATGTCGGCATTCTGCCAATGTGCTGGAGATGCAGTGTTTGAAGCATGGCATTGACACAATTATTAAGAGTTGGATAATCAGCTCCACGGTTTCACTACAAACCTCTGCAAAGACCCCAAAACTGCAAAAAATTGCTGGTACTCCAGTGTCCAGTCTGAGAACTCTGGGATCTTCTTGGAATGGGGATGTGCAGCTTTCCCCCATCTCCGAAGCCCCTGCAGCCACGACCACCTTCCACAGCCACCACCATGTTAGCTCAGTGGCCCAGACCACAGATCCTGAAGTCTCTGGACTAGGCAACTCCATATGTGGCTGTGCCAACACCACCAAATTCCACAATCCTGACATCCCAGGAGGAGCACACCAAATGAGATGGGAAAGTAACATCGAAACTCAACAAATGAAAACAATTAACACCAAAGGCTCAATTAGATAAAGATAAGATAAGATAAAAGCCCTCCCGTTGATGTTGATTTGCTCGAGCGGGCCAAGTAACATCTCCATTGCAGACTTTGTTGTTACTGTGTTTGGCATATCCAATATGGCACGGGGAGCTTGCCAGGCTCTGCCATGCGGGCGAGATACACTCGGTAGCTTGCCGGGCTTTCCGAGAGGGGTGGAGGAATCGAACTCGGGTCGGCCATGTTGGCCGCTTGTAAGGCAAACGCCCTACTGCTGTGCTATCGCTCCAGCAAAGGCTCAATTAGCAACAAACAACTTAGTAAACCTTCAAACAAGGGCTTAACAACCCTGTGGTCAGATAAAACAATTTTCAACAAATTTTCTTTTACTGAAGTATTTTTGATAATTCCATTAGCCATTTAGTGGTAAAAGCAATAAAGAATAAATTATGGTGTACCTGCAAAGGGGGCAGACTTGGAGGTTGGTCTGGAAAATGGGGATGGTGGTGGAGGGAAGGTCACTGTGGTGGTGGGATCGGAGCTGGACCATTGAAAGCTCAAAACAATTGTATTATGGACAGTTTTGGAAACCACAGTGTTTAAATATAGTATTTTATTTTATTTAAAAATAAACTAAAGGGGGCTGGAGCGATGGCACAGCAGGTAGGGAGTTTGCCTTGCACGCAGCCAACATGGCCAACCCGGGTTTGATTCCCAGCATCCCGTATGGTCCCCCGATCACCGCCAGGAGTGGTTCCTGAGTGCATGAGCCAGGAGTAACCCCTAAGCATCACCGGGTGTGACCCAAAAAGCAAAAAAAAAAAAACCTAAAAGGGTTGGACAATGAAGAGCCAGCTTGAACCTCTGATTAGAATGACGATCACATTTTTCTGGTCCCAAAACCTGACATCTTTTTTTTTTTTTTTGGCTTTTTGGGTCACACCCTGCGATGCACAGGCGTTACTCCTGGCTCTTCACTCAGGAATTACTCCTGGTGGTGCTCGGGAGACCATATGGGATGTTGGGAATAGAACCAGGTCGGTCGCATGCAAGGCAAACGCCCTACCCGCTGTGCTATGACTCCAGCCCCAAAACCTGACATGTTAATAATATTTCATGTGGAAGAGTTGTACATTAAATAAGACAAAGATTGCAGTAGGTAGTAACTAGAAGCTTCACTCACCCAGAGACACCAGGTGACTGTAGGTCTCCAGCATCACATCCCGGTACAGGGTCCTCTGCTCCTCATCCAGGTGTTGCCACTCTTCCCAGGTGAAGTCCACAGCCACATCCTCAAACACCACCATCCCCTGTAAGGGCACATTTCTCTGCAGCTAGAAGTACCAATGTGGGTAAATAGAATGTGAATTCTGGAAGTTTATTTATGGTGTGTGTGTGTGTGTGTATGTGTGTGTGTGTGTGTGTGTGTGTGTTTGGTGGGAGCCCACCCCCAGCAATGCTGAGGGGTTATCCTGGCTCTGTACTCAGGAATTGCTCCTGATGGACTCAGGGGACCCTCTGGGATGCTGGGATTCAAACCTAATTTGGCCACATGTAGGTCAAGAGCCTCCCTGTGGTATTATCACTCCAGGCCCAGTCTGGCATATTTTATCTTGTATAGGATGCGCTATACTTAAGATTTTATATCATGGAACGATGATAGGTCATGCACATTTCCATAAAGTAGAAATGTATTTTTTTCTTTTTAATCTTTATTGTTTCTGTTTTGGGGCCACACCCAGCGATTCTCAGGGGTTACTTCTGGCTCTACACTCAGGGATCACCTCTGGAAGTGCTCTGGGGATCATAATGGATGCCGGGGATTGAACCCTGGTCAGCTGTATGGAAGGCAAATGCCCTACCTACTGTACTAACACTCTGGTCCCTTCCTTTCCATTTTAATTTAGGAACCCTCATAAAAGTTACCCAGTAAAATGTAAAATAAATGGGGAAAAACCGAGTCACTTGGGCCCAAGTGATAGTATAGAGGGTAGGGCTCTTGTCTTGAATATTGCAGACCTGTGTTCAATCCCCAGAACCCTATCATGGTCCCATGGGTGACCCCTGAGTGCAGGGCCAGTACTAAGCCTGAGCACTGCTAGGTGTGACCCTAAACCCAAACACCCCAAACCGAAAAAAAAAACTGATCACTCACCAGAGATGTGTTCATGGTCTTTGCTCTACAAAGGGCCCCAGGGATGGGGCTGGGAGAGAGGATGGCAGGGGTCAGGAAGGAACGGGCATGGCTTTCTCCACGCTCTCAGAGTCCCATGTCCAGGTTCCTGACACATTCACTAGAAAAGATGACAAAGAGACTTGTGTGGGACAAGGGCATTTTCTTTCCTTATCAATATTTTTTCAGTTGCAGCACCATGATTTACAGTCCTGTTCATGACAGGATTTCAAGCATACAAGTTTCCAAGGTCACAATCGTCACCAACATGACATCTGTATTCTCCATCAATGTCTTATGTGTCCGCCACCCCTCAATTTAGTATCTCAAAAACACCCTGATAAAGAACCCAAGATCTGTTATTTGGCAAAATTCACTAAAGATTCACAAAAGAAACACGACCCTCTACCAGTTCAGTAGGTAACAGACAATGCCAACAATTCTGAATCCTTTCTGGTGGTGCTCAGGGTACCCTATGAGATACTGGGGATCAAAGCCAGGTCAGAAAATACAAGGCAAGCACCCTCCACGCTGTACTCCTGCTCTGGTCCCAGGAAAATAACTTTTCTACAAGAATTTTCTTATTGGAAGACTGTACCTTAAAGGAAACTTGGGTTTTGCTTGCTGGGAGAGCCTGACTTAGCCCAAAGCCAGCAGAAAGACCAAAAGGTAAGTGAAGGAATCTTAAACCAACCAGCCATAAACGAATTGGTATATATATATAAATATATATATGACTTTTTTTTTATTTGGGGGCAACACCTGGGGCAACCATTAGGGGTTACTCTTTGTTCTGCACTCAGAAATTATTCCTGGTGGTGCTTAGGAGACCATATGGAAAACCAGGGATTGAACCAGGTTCAGCCACATGCAAGGCAAATGCCTTCTGCACTATGCCATCACTCTGGTCCCTGTATGACTTATTTTATTTATTTATTTTTGTTTTGGGGCCACACCAAACAGTGCTCAGGGTTTATTGGTTCTGCATTCCAGAATTACCCCCGAGGTACCAGAGATCAAACTTGGGTTGGCCATGTGCAAGGCAAGTGCCTACCTGCTATACTCTGCCGCCTCCCCCCAACCATGAGTTCCTTAAATAGGTATCACACGCAGTAGAACTAAAGGGCTCAGGTCCACTCCTCATACTGGTCAAGGTACAAATCTTGGGGCAAGCCCTCAATGCACCCTGGGACAGCAGTGCCTGTGTGGGACCAAGGTCGGAGCCTTGCATGCACGAGGCATGAGCTCTGCCATTTGAGCTCTCTTGCCAGACCCTAAATGAATTATCACTTAATGAATGAGACCAATTGTAGTTACTGGTAAATGAATTATATTTGAAAGAAGTCGGGGGGGGGGGGAAGCAAGGAGGGAGAATTAAAAAATCAGTGTGTCTTGGACTGGGGTGATAGGAAAGCTTGTAGGGTTTTGCCTTGCACACAGTGGATCCAGCTTCGATCCTGGCCAACCCATAGGGTCCCCCGGATCCTGCTGGGGAGTGATCCTTGAATGCAGAGCCAGGAGTAACCCCTGAACATCACTGAATGTGGTACAAAATACAAAATGAAGCAAAAACAAGAAATAAGTGTGTTACCATGAAAGAACAAAATCATGTAACTTGCAGCAACATGGGTGGAACTGGAAGATATTTAGCTGAATGAAGTCAGTCCAAAGGAAAGGGGCAGAGATAGAATGATCTCTCACAGGTGGGATTTAAAGATACATAGCCAGGGAGCAACAAAGGGCCGAAGGTCACAAACAGGTGAACTGATCCACACAACTAAGTTGTGTGTGTGTGTGGGAGGGGCGTTGTTCTGGAGGGAGGGGTGTTAGGGTTCTTGGGAGATGGAGTTGGGCACACTGGGGATGGGTGTGATACGGAATTATGTGCATAAGTAACCATCAGTAATAGTATAAACCACATGAGATATAACAATTGTCACAAATCAACGTTTATTGATCTATTTTCTGACAATTGCCACTTGCCAGTTTGTTGTAACAAGCAATATGAAGTAAATTTGTTTGTGCCTGCTTAAGGGGGCAGACTTGGGGGGGGGTGGGAAACCGGGGACACTGGTGTAGGGAAGCTTACACTGGTGGTAGGGTTGGTGCAGGAACACTGGCTTGAAATGAATTATGAGCAACTTTAGAATTCATGGTACATTTTTGTTGTTCTTGTTGTTCAATGTGCCACGCCTGCAATACTCAGAAATTACTCCTGGTGGTGTCCAGGGAATCATATGGGATGCCAGGGACTGAACATGGATCAGCCACATGCTAGGCAATGCTCTATCTAACTGACCTATCTATCTGGCCCCAAATCATGGTGTTAAAAAAAAAAGATGTGGCTGAAGCGATAGCACAGCGGGTAGGGCGTTTGCCTTGCACGCAGCCAACATGGCCGACCCGAGTTCGATTCCTCCGCCCCTCTCGGAGAGCCCGGCAAGCTACCGAGAGTATTCGATATGCCAGACACAGTAACAACAAAGTCTCCAATGGAGACGTTACTGGGCCCGCTCGAGCAAATCGATGATCAACGGGAGGGCCTTTACTTTCAAAAAAAAAAGATATTGGGGGCTGGAGCAATAGCACAGCAGGTAGGGCGTTTGCCTTGCACACGGCTGACCCGGGTTCGATTCCCAGCATCCCATATGGTCCCCCGAGCACCACCAGAAATGATTCCTGAGTGCAGAGCCAGGAGTAACCCCTGTGCATTGCCGGGTGTGACGAAAAAAAAAAAGATATTGTAAACCAGAGAATATTAATCAATAATTTTTTTTTTTTAAAAAAAGTGTGCAGGGGCTGGAGCAATAGCACAGTGGGTAGGGCATTTGCCTTGCACGCGGCTGACCTGGGTTCAATTCCCAGCATCCCATATGGTCCCCTGAGCACTGCCAGGAGTAATTCCTGAGTGCAGAGCCAGGAGTAACCCCTGTGCATCGCCCAAAAAGAAAAAAAAAGAAGTGTGCAATTAAAAAGGAAAATACACAGACTTAACAGTTCTTCCTCTACACCCCCTCTACCACTCCAGTAAGCTTTTCCCAAGCATTTGACCTCCCTTCTCTGCTCAGCTCAGGCTCCTGCTGGAAATCAGTTCAACACTCCTGATACCACCGAGTCTCTGCCAACTCCTAGAGGTGGAATCACCACCAGTTTAATTCACCTTGGGCAGAAGCCTCAGTACTTTCCGGGTCATGCCAAGTTAGGATCTTCCTTTCCTCTGATACATCTGTACTTAGACATGGTAACCGGAGGGTTCAGGTCACAGGTCTGCCTTCATGGTGGGATTCCTACTAGAGGGTGCCCAGCCCCCTTCTTTATAAAAGCTTGTGTGTTCCAAGGAAATCAAAACTCTCATTGAGATTCCAACTATTCCTCCTAGAAACTCAAGATCCCTAAAAAGTAGGTCTTGTATAAAATTCTCCACAGAGGGCTGGTTCAAGAGTAGAGGGATTGGGGCTGGAATAATCCAGAGGGTAGAGTGCTTGCCTTGTATGAGGCCAACCAGGTTTGATCCTGGCATCCCATAGGGTCCCCAAACACCGCCAGGAGTGATTCTTGAGTGCAGAACCAGGAGTAATCCCTAGACAATGCTGGGTGTGGCCTAAAATAAACAAAACAAAACAAAACCAGTTTTTGGTTAGATCTACTGACCCCTATTTGAATCCCCAGCACCACATGCAGTCTCCTGAGTACCACCAGGCGTCACCCCTGAGCACAAAGCCAGGCTTAGCCCTGAACACCACATATGTTCCCCCAAACACACCGGGGGTCTCCCCTGAGCACAAAACCAGGATTAGCCCCTGAGCACCATGCATGTACCACGGATCACCACCAGGGGTCGCTCCTGAGCACAAAGCCAGGATCTGCCCCTGAGCATTTCCAGATGTGGTTGTGGTGCCCACGCCCACACCCCAAAGAAAATTTGCCTTAACTCTCTCAGCAACCAACCGGAGTGCGAGGCAGGCCACACAGCACAAGGTTCTTGATCACCTGCTGAGGAGATTCCAGAAAACCCCACCAACACCACCACACAGGGCAGAGTCTTCCCAAGGGGTTCCCTGCAGCATCTCTTAGCCACAATGGTACTCACACTACAGATGCATAACCTAAATGTCCTACCTCCCCTACGATGCTTCTTGATCGACTGGAACAGGAATGCAGAAACAGAACACCCACCCTCCAGTTCTCTGCAGACCTTCCCTGCCTAGTGCCCACTGGGGCCGTCCCACCCAGGGCTCCTGGAAGTGCACTCCTGCCCCCTACACTATACCTTCTTGTGAAGAAGCAATCAGTGATGCCTATGCCTGCCCTGCCTCCCCAGCTTATGATTGACCTGTCCTCAATTACTATGATTGACACATCGCCAATCACTATGACTGACAGGTCGTCAATCACTATGACTGACATGTCGTCAATCCCCTCCAGATCAGTACCAGTCTGTGCAGCACCTGAACCCAACTTCGTCTCCCCACACCCACACACCCAACCATTGCCCCTCCCTCTTTTTTTTTTTTTTTTTTTTTTTTTGCTTTTTGGGTCACACCCAGTGATGCACAGGGGTTATTCCTGGCTCATGCACTCAGGAATTACTCCTGGCGGTGCTCGGGGGACCATATGAGATGCTGGGAATCGAACCCGGGTCGGTTGTGTGCAAGGCAAACACCCTACCCGCTGTGCTATCACTCCAGCCCCATGCCCCTCCCTCTTACAGCACTGCTGCCAAAATTTATTTAGCCTACCTCTCCTTTTCAGAGGAGGGGAAATCACTCATACCCCCTTGATCTACTTCTTTGTTGTTTTGGTTTTGGGGTATACCCAGTGGTGCTCAGGACCACTCCTGGTGGGGATTCCAAGGTTTGAACCTGGGTGGGCTGCATGCTAGGCAGTGCCTTATTCGCTGTACTATCGCTCCAGTCTTACCTACTGTCTTTAAGTAAACAGTGCCCCTGTATGGCACTCAAGGCTACCACTGTCCCCCACTTTCACCCTCCAGATAAGTCTAGGTAGCAGGTCCTGTCACTTTTAGAAACAGATTTACTGCTTCAATTTCCTCCTCCACAGTAAAAGCAAAGCTACCATGAGGCCTGAATCTCCCCACATATCGGATTTTCTGCTTCCTTACTGCCTCAGGCTGTAGAGCTCTGACCTTCACACTCACCTCTGCACTCAGCCCTCCTGGAATCTGCCCCCTTCAATTCTACTCTCTTCCCCATGAGACCCCCATGCCCTTGTTTGTATTTTGCTCCCCCT